ATATGAGACACTCTTACCAGCTTCTGCCAGCATCTTCAAAAGGTCTTTGAGTTTTGATTCTGTTGTTTATTCACACATTTATCTCTTGCATATAACATTTTTACATGGCATCTAGAAATTGTACCAAAAACACTGACTTGAAATGTGGAGGTCTATAAATTTGTCCCTGATACCTTTGCTTTTTCTTTAAATTTTTTGCCATATGCCTCACAATGTTGTAGTGTGGTTGAGTGGCGGCTTTTAAATACATCAGGAGCTATGTTTTATTTTAACTCAAGGGGTGTGATTTAACTATTCAGAAGCTTTTAATGCATTGGCATCATTACATGGGCTTTCCTAGGCTGTCTAAAAGCATAATCTTGTTTATTTTATTTGTTTTGTTTTTTAATATAATTACAAAATAAATTTGTGTTTTTGATTTCCTGAGCGTGTAAAGAAGACGGATGGATGGATGGATGGATGGATGGATGGATGGATGGATGGATGGATGGATGGATGGATGGATGGATGGACTATCAGGGAATGTGGTATCAGTTTAGGAAGTATAAAGTTAATATTTGGGTTTAACTCTACATCTACACAACCTATCAACATTTGCTTAGACTTAAATATACTGAAAAAAATCATTAATTCAGCTCATTATGTGAATATTATAACAAAAACTCCTACCCGTCCTCTCCCCTGAAGACACTTGTAGTTAGATACCTGCAGCCTGGACCCTAAAAAGGGCATCAAAAATGGATGGATTAAAAACAGTCTCTGTATCTAGATACAAAGGGGTTAAGGTTCCCCCACCTTTATGGTGTTTTTTGTCAATGAAGTATTTTAAGTTGCAAATATTGAGCTTTCTCATCTCATAATCCCCAAGTCCACCATTACTATAACTACTTTAATCATTTTATTGCTAGCACACTATCAATAGCATGCTTCACATATTACTTAAATTGAAGCCTTGGTTCTCCATCAATGGGTCTTTACTGTTCGTCATGTGCAGCACCTGAATTTCACACCATATACACAAAATTATCTACTTAATGAATGAATTAAATTGACCTAATACTCAAAATTTAGTATTTACCATCACCAAATATTTTTCACTACAAAAACATCACCAAGAACCTTAAATTTAAGAGATAGGGCATCACATCAGAGATATGAGTGTAAAACATTTCTAATGCAGCCATGATAGAGTAGAAAATCCCTTTATTGTTCAACAGTGGGGAAATTGTGGTGTTACAACAGCAGCAAAAGGTTAAAGCAAAAGTGGTCACACAATTTGGACCTTACAAAAGTGTATAAAAATAACAGAATAAGTGACAGAGTTAAGAAAAAAAAATTAAATACTGTGTTGTACAGTGTTTTTTTACTACCTAAATACTGTGTATCTGGAGAATAAATAACCAATAAAGAGCTGTGGATATTTTACATGAATGGATATTTGAAAATAGCAGCAACACTGGAGATGAATAAAAAATTAGAAGCATGTTATTTAACTGACAAAGACAGAAACTGTGCAAAAATCAATGTAACAACTTATTGAGGTTGTTGGGGAAAAGAGATGTTATGAAGTCTTACAGCTGCTGGGAGGAAGGATCTGTGATGGAGCTCCCTGGTGCATTTAAGATGCAGCAGTCTGTCACTGAAAGAGCTTTCCAGTTCAACAACAGCCTGATGCATGGGGTGGCAGATATTGCTTGATCTCCATTTGGAAGAACAGCTATTTATCTAAAATGGCCCTCCCACAAAGATCCATTCAGCTTTAAAATTTAATATATATAAGCCTATTTTATTTTAATTAGCTTGTATTTTCCCCAGTTGTTCTGCATTTTTTAGCAAACTGCCAGCCACATACGTTTTAGGACTTTTTGGGAAACTTGCTCTATTTGGCAAGTAGGTAGAAAAAAACAAAAGTACTTAGTAAGGCACCCTAAAAGCAGATATATCATCATCATCATCATCATCACACACACACACGCACACACAAGTAAACCCTTTTTTAAATATTTATGTCCTGCCATTACCATTATGTTTGAAAATGTTGCAATAATGTTTATTTCAATTGTTAGATTTTTTAAATACTTTTCAACTTACTGTGGGTGTTGTCATGTCTTTAATCCTTAGCTGGTTGAACCCCCTATTCAGAATTGGCTACAAGAGGCGTCTTGAAGAAAACGACATGTACAGAGTTCTTCCAGAGGATGCGTCTGAGCGACTTGGAGAGGAGCTGCAATGGTAACGGGCTTCCTGACTCTCTGTTATGTCTGTTTGATCTTTTCTTTTCTTGGTGTCTGCAAAACCTTAAGGTTTTCAGGTCAATCATTAATCAAAGACATAAGCTTAGGTGCTTGAGATCCAACACTTAATTCATTCAAATAAAAAAACAAATCATAAAAAACTTACTTGAAGGAAAGAGCCAACAGATTTTACTCTCACATGTGGAGCATTATAGCTTTCGTTATAGTGCTTCGCTTGATTTATATATGTACATAGTTTGATTATGGTTTACGTAGGTAAGGGATAACTTATGTTATGTGGACACTACAAAGAAAAAAGGGGAAGAAAATGTGAAAGGAAGAGAAGACAAAAGAGAAATTAACAGAACTTGATCAGTCTACTTCATCACCTGCAAAGAGAGATGTAAAAAGAACAGCACAACCAACTAATATAGAACTACAGACGCAATACAGCAACCTACAGTATTAATCAATATGGAATGCATAAAGTGGTAGAAAGTGGTAGCTTTCTATTTCTGCATTTAATCATTTTAAACATAATGAATTTGAAAAAAAAAATTTTTTTTAGTAGTAGTAGTAAATGTAGTAATATTTTCATTTAAAATACAATTAAAGCTGAAATTACATATGCTCCCTATTATTTGGACAACTCTGATTTGCCAAAACTTATATATAAAAATATTTAGATTTTTCTATGGTATTACGTACTTCATTATTTTGCCATCCCTTAAACGTTGGGCTCTCTTTCATGGATTTAATGGTTTGGCTTTTTTTTTTATTCCCTGTTTTTCAAGGCTTCCCTAAATACTGACACCTGCCTCTCTTCTCTGTTTCTAAAACACAGGGCCCTGATAATTATCCCCTAATACTTTACTCTCTGAGAATCCCTGTGCATGTGTTCTGTTGAAATAACATAGAAGAAGTAATCTAATATCTACACTGTATCTGATTTAGATCTCAGGTTGCTCTCTGGAAGCCAAAGCAACATTAAGGTTTATGGGTGTATGACCTTGTGATTTCCTGATAGATGTTAATAATAATGGGTCCATTCTTCTAGTGCTCTGTTGAAATAAACTTTCCTTTCCACAGTGAAAATCCAAGTGTTCTAGTAAAACTGTTTTCTCTTTCCTCTAAATGCCCTGGCCACCACCTTAAGCCTGGACATCTTCCAAACATGGAATATCCTTCTATCTTTTTTGATACATGCCCTCAGTGGGAACATGTTGCTTGGACATGAGCCCATCTATATTTAGATAAGTGGTCTGCAGCTTTTCCCCTTCAAGAGCCAGAGTCTAGCTATGTAAAGGTAATCAGAGCTGCAAAGGTTAGGTGGCAAAAAAGGCAATTTTTTTTTATAAATATAGCAATTAGAAAATTAAACACAATTTAGAATAGAAATATCATGTTTTACCCAAAAGTGGGAAAATTTATCTGTGACTGCGAAAAAGAAAACGGAGACAAGAGAAACATAACTAGCTGATGAATAGCACAGAATTCTAAAAGTTCAAGGGAGCAGCAAAAAAACAAATAAAAACATTAATAAAAAGGCCTATTCAAATAGAATAAAAATGTTAATGTAAAAACAAAATAAGAAAAAGAAAAACAGCAGGCCATTAACAGCAACCAGAAAAACTTTGCAGATAAGAGTGAATCTAGAAAATCTGTTTCAGAGCAGCTAAAAAATGGGCAAATAAAATTACAAAATGTTGTCCTCGCTTTCATCCTCTAATATGGAAACTGGTTTAGAGTTCATCTGCCTGGCTGTGTCTTTCCTGGACATGGCCATTGGTGGAGGTAATTATTTGTTTCCTTTTATATGTCTGCTTCTCATTGTATGCCTGCTTCTATCTATTTTGTATTGCAAATTCTGAAAGTTGGAAATTAAACTAAACTCAATATGACCGTCACAGAGGTTGTAAAAATGATACATTTGTTCAACTCAGCCTAATTTCAAGTGAAATCTTACCCTGGCGCATCTGCTTATCAAACAAACCATGCAGCTAAATTATATAGTGGCTTAAAATGTTTGGCTAAATGGAGTTTATTTTTATGGCTCAAAGCAGACTTTAGGCAAACACATGGCCACTAACTTATGCAGAGAAATACAGATGAAAGGAAGTTCAATCAGTTCTAAATGTTTACCCCTCAGCATACCAGGACTTTTTCCAGTCAGTTCACAGTTTACAAATTATATCATATTTGTACAGGATACAATTCTGTTAAAAAGAAACCATTTATTTGACACAAAACACTGTCTGTACATATATGTGTCTATAGGTGTTTTGAATGAGGAAAAGTAGTGGAAATAATGATGTTGGCTGTGATTTTTAACTGTGGCTGTGAAAGTACACCATAAACTGGAGCAGAGTTGAATGACTACAGCAGAACTCTGAATTTGGGGCCCAAATGTTTTGTGGTCGGGGTTATTTTGTGGTCCCCATTGGACATGAACAGTTATATACTATTCGTTAGTTTGTTTTACTTTGGAGAAATCAAAGTTTTAAAAAGAAACATTTAACTAATTTTGCATCGACAATAATGCATATACTTCCACACAACATTTTACTGTACCTATAGTATAAGGGAGTGAATTTAACACCGGCAACTGGTTTTAAGATAATTTGAGCAAAAAAAAAAAAGAGCACAATCAATAAAATGCAACATTTTAGACTGTAATACAGGACTAAAACTAATCCATAAAAAAAAAAAAACTCTAGATCAGGGGTCTTCAACGTTTTCGAGGCCAAGGACCCCCAAACTGATTGCGAGATGGAGCGGGGACCCCCTAATTATATATATTGTATGAAATTGTGTTATATCAAACTGGTCCTATAGTCACTCTATTACATATGGAGTAATGTAACAAAAGTAATTTCTCCCTGGTATTATTAAAGTATTTCTGATTCTGATTCCTGGTTGATGGGACAGGTGTTGTGAATGAAATGGTGCCCAGGTTTGAAAGAGCCCCTGTGTGTCGCTGAATGTGTGCATTGATGACTGAAGGACATCTTTTGCTTCCATTTATATGTTTACTACAGTGCGTTGAATTCATGTTAATGTGTTTTTAAAGACATTTTAATTAGTGCAAAAAATTGCAGGAGGGAATATAAAAAAAAAAGTAATCAACCAAGACTTTCGCGACCCCCATGCAGTACCTCCGCGGACCCCCTAAGGGTCACGGACCCCCTGTTGAAGACCTCTGCTCTAGATCATTTCACAAACTCTGCATCATACTAACACCAAATCAAAAATACTGCATATTTGCACCATATATTTTAATGCTCTGAACTTTCATATCAATGCTTATTTTGCACCATGTTTTTTCTCCCACTCTTCACATTTGATCACTGCTGCACTTTATGGAATGGAAATGTTCATTTACTGTCTGAAAAGCTGTACTAAATGAAATGTCGTTTTGTATATACTCTGTGCATACAAAATGACAATAAAAGTTGTCTATGTCCAACAAATGTGGTTAGACTTAAGCCGTTTTAAAGCCCTATCTAAAGCCCTCTATACATAACAATTGATGGTACTAAATTGCGAGTCTGTTGAATTATTCACACATATTCAAACTGCTTTCTTTCTATAATGATAATTTAAATATCAGATAGTTTGATGAGTTACTCGGTATTTGAGTACCCTGTTTACCAAATACTCTTTTACTGTTATAATATCTTAAACTGCAATTTTTACTCTTAATATATGAGATGTTACTCTTATTGAGGGCAACTTTTTGGCACTTTACCAATATCTTCATAAAGTACATATTTGCCAGAAAACACGCCCCAGTAAATACTTTTCTTCTTCTCTGTTTTTTTATTTTGAAGGTATTGGAATCAAGAAGTTCAGCAGGCAGCAAAAGATCTCCGGCCACCCAGACTTACTAAGGCTCTCATCCAGTGCTATTGGAAACCCTACTTATTAATTGGACCTTACATCTTCATAGAGGTAAGGTTATGTAGTCAGATCAAATGGATTGCTGTAGATTTTCCATGCTCAAATGTTTCCACATTTTGTTACAGTACAAATTAAAACATTGACATACTGTACTCTGGGATGGATTTTATGTAATATATCAACACCATAGTGCATAATTATAAAAAAAAGAAAATACTTTTTGTGAAGAAACCTAGAAAAATATGTGAATATTTTGTAGGAAGCTTTGTATATCTCAGGACTGATTTTTTCCCCCTCTATAATTGTTTTGTAAAATAACCATGAACTCAAGCTCAGTCAGACTGGATATAGAGAGATTGCACCTTGAACTGCACTTTGAACTGTTCCATGAATGCTGTAATATAAACTATTCACAAAAAAATGTTGCTGTTCATTTTTTGCCTTGAAGTGAACATATGACATTTTCTTCGAGTGTTACCTTGTATTTAAATCGATTTATTTATGTTCTCATTAAGTTTAGCCAGCTTTTCAGTTCTCGCTTAAGGAGAGTATTACCCATGCATTACTGTGACACCACCATGGTGTGCCTATGTAACATATTTCTTCACACCCAAAATAGTTTACAATAGTGCATATTGAACAGTTGTTTCTGTCTTATAGTCAAATTTTTTGGTTTGTTTGTTAAAATGATTTTGAACTATGCATAATGTTTCGTCCCATTTCACACTTATACACTACTTTTGTTGGTCTACAACTCAAATTCCTTTTGAAGTGTATGGATGTTTGTATTTGTAATGTAACAAAATTGGGAAAGAAAATGGAGCACAATCTTCAGGACACAGTATATACAATTTATTTAGTTAAAACTCAGTTTAATGTTTAAATGCATTTCAGTTTACTCTTGGTTTTCCATCAGGAAGTTATCAAAGTCATTCAGCCAGTGCTACTCGGTAAGCTGATAGAGTACTTTGAGAGTTATGACACTGCTCAGCCAGCTTCGGTCTCTGAGGCTTACTGCTGTGCTCTCGGCATTTCATTGGCCACCATTGGGGTCGCTCTGCTTCATCATCTGTACTTCTACCGAGTCCAGCGGGCAGGCATGAAGATCCGCGTGGCCATGTGCCACATGATCTATAGGAAGGTCTGTCATCATGTAACACAGAAGAAAAATTTTATGTTCTGTTTTCAGCAGCTGCGTTATTTCTGTCAGCTAGATTTGATGTAACACCTTTGTTCTGCAAAGGCTCTTTGTCTCAGCAGCTCAGCAATGGCCGAAACAACCACAGGACAGATAGTCAACCTCCTGTCCAACGATGTCAACAGATTTGATGAGGTGATTACATATACATATCTACATTTAAATTAAATATAAGAATTGCATCATTATTTTTAATCGTTTTTTTGATAAAAGTAATAGAAAAATAAGAGTTATTGTTATAGCTACATATGCACACAAAATATGTTGGAACCCTTTAAAAATGCCAAAAAAAACCCCTAAACAGATTTACCTACAAAATAACTTGAAACTGACAGTCAAGTCAAATATTTGGAAGAAAATGACAGGATTTGGTTGTGGCTTGTGGACCCAAATGCAGAGGCAGGGAGGCAGAGGTGAGTTTCTTGATGATTTAATGAAGTGGAAACGAACAACTGAGGCAGGAATCCAAAAATCAAACATGAAAAAAGTCCAAGCAAAACAGAAACCATGGAGACATCTGGGGAAAACAATCACGAGCAGGAAAACTCAGTAAGACAGAGTTGGAGGAAGTTAGACGAGGAACCAGCACTGAAGAACTGCATAGAGAGAGTATTTATGGGAGACTGAAACAAAGAGAGGGCTAACGAGCAGATTGGGAGCAGGTGTGAACAGAGCAGAAACAGGAAAGGAGCTACTGTAGGGAAAACGAAAAACACCAAGAGGGCAGCAGAGGGCAACAAATAAAAACCTGAAAACTGAAAATAACCAGAAAGCACAACAAAATAAGAATTAAACACTAAAACTAGAAAACACGGAACAAAGGAAAACTGAATACTCAAAAGAAAACCTAACAGAACCAACACTGTGACAGTAACTGAAAAATAAACAGAAAACATAACAAAATAAGAATTAAACTGCTAAAACTAAAAAACATGGAGCAAAGTAAAACTGAATACTCATAAGAAAACTTAACAAAACCAAGACTGTGACAGAAAAGAAGAATAACACACTTTGACCTTGGATTTTTGGGGTTTAATCAACCAGTCAACACAAAGGGTGGCATCATATTTGCATCATTTTGTTTATTAGATTGTTCTGAGCTGTTGGTGAAATGCTTTGTTTTTATTGTGTCTCCTGTCGACCTCTCTGCAGGTTACCTTATACTTGCACTTTATATGGGTCGGCCCCCTTCAAGCAGTATCTGTGATATTGCTTTTGCTATATGTTATCGGCCCATCTTGTCTCGCTGGAATGTCGGTCCTTTTCATTCTGTTGCCAGTACAGACCATGTTTGGACGTTTTTTCTCCATTCTCAGGTTTATTTTAAATACATACTACATTGGTTTATTTGGTCTTTAAAAGGTTGTTGTAAACACTCCATTTCTGCAATTTATGCCTTTTATTTCAGTGGTGAAACAGCAGTGTTAACCGACGAGAGAATTCGCACGATGAGTGAAGTAATATCTGGAATCCGAGTTATAAAGTTGTACGGGTGGGAGGAGCCTTTCAGTGCACTGGTGGATGAAGTCAGACGGTGCGGTAATTTCTATATTGTCTTCTACAGTTTTTTTGTTCGTTATTGTTTCTTATGATTAAGCTATAAAGTTTGTGGTGGAAAAGCATCAAATTAAGGCCTTTCCTTTTACTCAGACCTGTTATTCACTTTAAAGTAGTATATTCTGCCATATTACCTTTTTGCAGAATGGAAATCTCCAAGATCATGCGAAGCTCTTACCTTCGTGGCCTGAACATGGCATCCTTTTTTGTGGCCAGCAAGATAGTCATCTTCTTCACCGTCTGCGTTTATGTTCTCACAGGAAACAGGCTATCAGCCAGCAAACTCTTCATGGCTGTTTCCCTCTATGGGGCGGTCAGACTAACTATCACACTTTTTTTTCCCTACGCCATTGAAAAACTTTCAGAGTCACTCATCAGCATCCAGCGGATTCAGGTAAATGGAAGATTGAACATAGGAGCACCTACCATAGATGCCGTTGCTTTCTTTTTTATACTGTACACAAACAAATTTCTCAGATGCAACTGATACTTTAATCCTTTTTTTCCCTCATGAAATATTAAGCTTGAAACAGGAAATTTAAAGGAAGAACATAACTGAGTGGATGATATTTTGGGGAATATTAGAACATGATATGCACCTAAACATTTTTGACTTAGTAAAAGTCTTATAAAGAACTTGTTATTTACTGTTGCACGATTTTTGGTAAAATATATTCATTAACAAAAATATAAAAAAAGTTTTAAAAATATAAATATAAAGCAAATATAACAAAGCAACATACCTAATTAACAATATTCAAAGAGTTAATGGGTGCAACTGGAGTAAATAATGAACAAAGCACAATAAGTATAACTTCAACAGACATAGAAATTGTTGGAATTTTTTTTTTTTTTTTCCAAGGCCTTGTGATATTTGCTCATGTCTTTCCCCTCTCTCTAATCCAATTTCCTGTCTTTATACTTTCAAAAATAATAAATGAAATTTATCTTAAAAATAAATCTCATCATCAATAATCCATTAAACCAATCAATAAATGTGAAAATGTGCCCCAAATGCAATAAGGTATCAAATAAAACAAATGAGGCAAAGTGAGAACTGTAATGAAATTACAAAGGTAACAAAGTAACAACTGTAGAAAAAAGTAACATATGATAAAGATTGCAAATAAGAATAAATAAAATGTGACAAACGGAATGTAAGAAGTATAAAAGCTGTTACAAATGTAACAATGTAAGAAAGCTACAAATTGGCATGTGTGTCTAAGCTATTTAGTAACAAATGTAATAATTGTAGCAACCAAAACAAATACAACAAAAGTAACAGTAACAATGTAAAAATTCAGGCAACATTCAAAATTTAAAAATTAAACAAATTTAGCAAGATACAAAAGGCAAACTTACCTTAGTAAAATAATATTGATACTTTCAGGAAGTAGTTCAGTATATTATTGGAGATTTTTTTCCTCCAGCTTGAGTCCAAATGTTGCCTGTCTATGTTATTCTTTAAAGGCTTCATAATGTTTAATTGTACATTTCATTGTAGCTTAAAAAATTACATTTGAAGACACATTCCGTATCTTTTCCAGTATATTTTTAAACAATGTTCGTTAAAGTCAAAAGAACCCTCCAACTTTTTTTTTTTTGTTACAATAGAAATTTCTTCTGCTTGATGAAGTTGCTCCTCAGCATCTTGGACTTTCTGTGGCAGATAAGAGAGAATATATGGTGAAAGTGCAAGATCTGAAGTGTTACTGGGATAAGGTAAGAATTCATGGAAGGAAATGCAGTCTTTCATTTTTGTTTTGGGGGTATTTTGCATTTTTTTCCCATCTTTTAAATATACCTGCTGTTTATTGATTTAGTGGTTGCAAATAAAATGAATGTTCATTATTGCGGTTTGGTATTTTTTGCAGAACCTTGAAGCTCCAACCTTACAGAAAGTGAGTTTCACTGTGAGACCTGAGCAGCTACTGGTGATTATTGGGCCTGTTGGAGCTGGAAAGGTCAGGTCTGTTAAGTTTTCACAGTTTTAAATATTTTTGCAGGCACTGAAATACTTTGGCCCATGTGCACTGATAGAAACTGTATGTTAAAACTAGTTTTGTGATCTTAACCTCCCAACTCCCACCTTTCCCTTACAAAAAAAGAATTTCATAGGTTCAGAGTATTAGCCTCACCATTCAAATCTTGATTTTTATTAATGTTAGTCCTCACTCTTAAATGCCATCCTGGGAGAACTGTGTCAGGAAATGGGTGTGATCAAGGTCAAAGGACGGGTAGCCTACACACCGCAGCAGCCATGGATTTTACCTGGAACCATCCGAAGCAACATTGTGTTTGGACATGAATTCAACCCAAAGAAATATGATCGAGTCCTGAGAGCTTGTGCCCTAAAGAGAGTGAGAATATCTTTATTACATGTTTAAATGTATTGTTATACTCTCATTAACAGAGTAAGGCAGTGTTTAATCAGAGATTAATTTGGGTTTATATTAATAAGTCAAAATAAAGATGAACCAGATATTAAAAGAAATCATCCCTCACCTCTAAGTTTGCCTCTTTACCCTCTTGCAGGACATAGATCTTTTGCCTGGGGGTGACTTGGTGGGGGTTGGAGACCGAGGGGCAAACCTCAGTGGAGGACAGAAGGCCAGAGTCAACCTAGCAAGGTGCGCTAAACGCTTGTAAAAGAGTTTCCCTTCCCCTTTTATACCAGTGAATGTAATGTCCTTTTTTGTGGGCTTTTAGGGCAGTGTATCTTGATGCAGATATCTACTTACTAGATGACCCTCTCAGTGCTGTGGATGCTGAAGTGGGACGGCATCTCTTTGAGGAGTAAGTCTTGTTAGTAACCTTTTACATCTAGAAAAGAAGACATGTACAGTAGATGATGTCGAGAAAATGTCTATAAATGCATGTTTGATATTGAGATTTACGGTTCAGTATTTGATGATATTAATTATCTGGATTGTGCAGGATCTCTACATTTGCTTGGACATACATACACTTTTAATAGATTTATAAAACCATGCCCACATTCAGCCATAAATGGTCCGAGCAAAGCACCTCCTGAATCACTTTGGATTCCAATAAACTGGCTGTTCATTGTAACTTCATTGTTAATAAAGGCAACATAGTAGGGGAGAAAGAAAAAATGTGACATGTTTTTATGCGACTGGTCATCGTATATAAATATGGCTTATTATTGCAAACATGTATCACACAGTTGGTTTAAATGCTTATGATCAGGTCAATGTATGATTAGCGTTTAATCTAAAGTAAAATCAAACGCCTGAGAGGAATTATGATAAATTACGTCATCATTTCCCCCTAGCTTTAAAATGAGCATACATGTGGGTCAGAAGGGCTGTACTTTTTCCCAACACATTTGTTTTTTTAAGATCACATCCTTTGCCTGGAAAGTGATGCATTCAACTTTTAGGACTTTTAGGATACGCAAGCTTCATAAATAAAACCCCTGCTAATCATTGCGTTCTAAATTTTTCATTTAACTTAATTAAAAAAAAAAAATCTTATTTTTTTTCTGCCATTCTTTATTCAGCTTTAAAGACATAAAAAACAAATGATAAAACCTACATAGCAATGATTAAGCACACTCCACGATTCAACCTTTAGCAGCAATATATCCTAGTTGTGACATCTTCTCGCAATGTCTTTCGAAGCAGCAGCAAGGAACACAGATTTTCCTCTTTGACTTTGTTTTTGTCATTTTTCATATGGAATTATGTAGGCACTGTTTTTTAATGATGAGTGTTGCCATGCAACTGTTTTTCTTTGCTTTGCAGGTGCATTTGTGGGCTCCTGAGAAAAAAGCCTCGTATTCTCGTAACTCATCAACTACAATATCTTAAGGCTGCAGATCAGATTGTGGTTTTAAAGGAGGTTTGTGTTTTACTGACTCTGTAGTCATTAAAAGGTATAGTGGAGGATTTTTTTTTTCAAATTTTTGAAAATTATATCCCTCTCCACTTTAAAAAAAAAATGCACATGCACAACCCTGTACCCGCTCTCGAGAGTGCTCGTCTATTAAACGCGTGTGAGAGCATGCACAAGCCACTTTCTCCTCGTGCAAGCTCTGTTTAAAAGTTTCTGTTTGCATCGCTCATACAAGCTTACTTTCCAAAAGAAGATTTGCTATTTTTCAACAACGCCAGACTCACCACCGGTAAGTAAAATTGAGGAGGAGCACGTAGAACGGCCTTATGTAAACATATCACTAGAATGATTGACAATTAGGAGGACCACTTATTATGATGATCCATCCAGAAAAGAATAGCCTCCTCTATACCTTTAATGTGTGAGTGTCTTTTGCGGGATGATGGCATTTTAAAGTCCTTTTCGAGATGCCAGAAAAAGTGACCAGATATTCCTCTGTCAGTCTGATCCATAAGGTGCATTAACATCAGTGTTTTCTAATGTGCATTTTAAAGTATTGCATCAGGAAAAACTTGCCAGAATGTCAGAATTAGAAAAGAATCCAAAATCTGGTTAATTTGCATCAAACTAAATGGAAACGCCACAAATTTGCATTTTTCTTTAGTTTTAGAGTTCACTTCACATTGGAGCTTTAGCACCCTTCCATCAGCTGCTGGCTAAACGAAGGCTTCTACATCTTTATTGGGGGGAAATATCTCCTGTCATTTAAACATTTCACAACCTTGCCAAAGTAACCCAACAACATAAAACCCTGTTATTCTTACTCAAGATTAACATACCATTAGATTTACATTAAGACCCATGCTTGATTAAATGTCAGGCTACTGATCGACCTCAATCAGACTTTTTGATTTAACTTTAAATTCGTCCCCGAAATAATCTTTTTTAAATACTTTTTTGTTTTATTTTTTCAGGGCCAGATGATTACCCAAGGCACCTACAGTGAGCTGCAGGGCTCTGGCATAGACTTTACCTCCCTTCTTAAGGAGGATCAGGAGGAGGAGAGGCAGGACGTGACCCCACTGCCTGGACCTGGCACCTTTCATTACACCCTCTCTGACAACTCCTCCATGTCCTCCCTTTCTTCTTCTCTGTACTCTCTGATTGATGGAGGAGATTCCCTGACACTGGTGAAGTATAACTCTGCTGTGCAACATTTTAGCCACTGGAGAGCAGCAGATATTCACAATTTCCAGCTTCTCTTCATGTGCATTTTTTACATGTTTTTTGGGGGGAAGATGAGTGACACTTAAATTATCATTTCTGCGTGTAGGTAGGGCAACCAATAGAGGAGGAAAGCCGCTTAGAAGGAAATGTCGGCCTGAGTATGTATGTGAAGTATTTCTTGGCAGGTGCCAACCTCCTGGTCCTCTTATTTCTCATTTTACTTAATGGACTTGCTCAGGTGAGTTTATCATTTCATTAATTCTTTGTATTTTTTTATCAAAGCCTTGGGTTTATGTATTTATTATTTGAAGTATTCTATGTATAAAGTTCCTGCTGAATAAAAATCTCCTACTTTTATGTTTAGATAACATTTGTTCTTCAGGACTGGTGGCTTGCGCATTGGTAAGATTTCACTTAGTTAATGGTTTTGTAAGGCAAACAGTCATTTTTTCTCTGTGACTGAAAATGGTTGAGGATCTCATAGAAACTGCCTGCACTAAACTGTTTCTCTTGACTTTGTCTGTTGCTCACTGAAACCAACCTTGAGCTTCACAATATAAGATATGTGTTGTGTTCATTCCCTGATGTGGTGTTTTTTTTTTTGCTTTTTCTATTATCTTTGTGGTGTTTATTTATTGCTGTGGATTTCTGGGTGTATGGCGGCTGACACGCAGGGCCTCTGAACAGAAGCACGCCGCTGTGACTGAGCACCTCAATGGCAACTTCCCTCAGCAGCTGGACCTTGACCTGTACCTAGGTGTTTACGCAGGTGAAGCTCGCTGCACTCTCGTTGCTCTTTGTGTTCTTTGAATGCGGCAGTCGCTCATTGAGCAGATCCACAGTTCTTTGGCTGTGGCCCAAGGCCTTCAAGGCCCAATGTATCCTTACAGTACATGGGTCTCAGCTGCACAGCGAGATAGGAGTGCTTTTCTTTCCTTTCTGTTGCTGGAATCCTCTGATTGTCGTCTTGTGACTCTCAGCCGCCTAACGTTTTCTGGCTTTATGCTCAGCAGTAGAATGTAGAAAAATGCACACTAGATAAAAAAAAAAAAAAAGTATGACTGTATTATTCATAATTAGATAAAAAAAAAAAAAAAGTATGACTGTATTATTCATAATGCAAAAAATAAACAGATTTTGTTGCGGAAGACGTAGATACAATAAAATAAATACAAATCAAACAAAATGTAAATTACTAATCAATACATGTGTAATATTAGACAAATGATATCATTTTTATTTCCCACTGCTAATAGTATTGATTATGATAATATACACTTTATAGACCAAATCACCCTTTTTTGTCAGGTCAAATTTTTATTTATTTTTTTTATTGTAAAGGGGATATGGCAGAAAAGCAGTAATATAATGCCAAAATGAAATAATGTCTAAAATGACAAATAAAAATGTTTGGTTTTCAGCATAAGCAATCAGAAAAACTATTTTCACACAAAACCTAAAGCAGTATCATTATCTAAATAAGTCCCCCTGAACCACATAACTTTTCTAATGAACTTAACAATGCAATCAGTTCTATTTCAGGTCATATTTTGACATGGAAAAAATGCACTATATGTTAAATACACGCTTTATCTAATGCTGTAATTACTCTTACAGCTGTCATTTAAAAAAATAAAATAAAATGTGTCGAAATCCATTCTAAAATGTTGCAGACATAAAACAATAAATTTTTAGAAGCAGCATACAAAAAATGGGGATGGAAACTGATTTCCACTCTCATATAAAAAAAAAAACTTATTCACAAGTAACTGATAAAGGATAAGTAATAAATAACTAATTAAAGATTACAAACTGATAATTATATTGAATGTAAAGTACAGAGGTCATAGTATTAAGTCTGGAGAAACAACTTGTAAAAAAGGAAATTATTAGTATTTTTCCCACCATACAACAAGAACTAATACATCTTGCTTGGAGAAGCACTCAGAGGGGACAGACATGGGGAACACAAATTGAGACATGTTGAACCAGAATTTTTTTTTTCACAAAGTCTGGTTCAGTCTTGTCCAGTTTTTTTTTTTTTTTTTTTTTACATTTTGTTGAATGGAATTTTTAGCCTAATTTTCCTGCTTTTAATAGATAAGATTGGGATCCACAGCTTTTCACATCAGACCTGTCTTTCCATTCTCACCTCACATCAGTAAGCCAGTTTCACCCTCACAGCTGCCCTTAATGGATCATTTGTCTTTTTAAATGATTCTATGTAACCCTGAGAGATGGGCGTTTGAAAATCCCAGTAGATCAGCAGTTGCTGGCATAAACTAACAACCATCTTGCAGCAACAACCATGCATCTTTAAAGACACCTAGATTCCCTTTCATCCACATTTTAATCTTGGTCTTAATCTCAACAAATCATCTTGATACCTAAGCGCATGTGATTGGCTGATCTTCTACTTGTAATGGCAAGTCATTTAAAAGGTGTGCATGATATAGGGTCAATTAGCGAGCATCGATCACAAACAGAAATACTGATCTTACCACACAAACAAGCTCACTAAACATTACTTTAATTAGCTTAAAACATATTCTAAAATTAGCCGAGGTATCCTGAATGTTTTCATAATAGTGCTGAAACCCATCAGACTTGGAAAAAAAAAGGTAACATCATCAACAGTTTTATCATGCTTATGACATCCAATGCAAGACTCCATTAAAACACAAAGTAAAAAAAAAGTACTTTAAGCTGTAATGCAGTAAACATGCAGAACAACATTTCCCAAGCAGTTTTTCATGTATACATTTTTTTTTTTTCTTTCAGCTTTAACAGTCACCTCGGTTGTGTTTGGCTTCACCCGCAGCTTGGTCTTCTTCAAAGTCCTGGTGAAGTCTGCTCAAACCCTCCACAAAAACATGTTCAGGGCCATCCTCCGGACGTCCATACGCTTTTTTGATACCAACCCAACTGGTGAGTGCACTAATCAGGAAATGAAGGTCTGATTTCAGCGTCTGCATCAGTGATGTATTAACATGAGATCATGAGTTGTCAAGAACATTTAGCTGTTTGTTTTGTGCATCACCACTAGAGGGCAGACTGCTACTTTTCTTTCACATTCAGTACTGTCTGTTCCACTCAGGAAAAAAAAGAACAGTTAAGCTTTTCCCTCATCTTTCATGTCATGACCATTAAGTTTTTATATGATGTTTTTTATTTAATAATAATAAAAAAAATTGCCCTTGCAAATATGGACATTATATTTTCAGACAATTTTTGTAGTTTTAAAAGATTTTTTGGTATATTTATTCGAATATCAGAAATAACTGAGATAGATGTAAAAAAAAAAATTAAAACTGCTATAAAAGAAAAAAATTACAATTTCTGTATTGTTTTAATTTTTTATATTTTCATTGTTCATCTGCTATTATGAATGTTCAACTCAATCCAAAATATTGTGATAAGATTTATCATCTGTTGTAAGGCGTTTAAGATGAAGAGTGAGAGCGGCACTGGAGGGGGGGGGTTACAAAAGAGCAAACAGATTTAGTTAATACTGTTTGCAGAACCCTCGATCCTAGATAATGTTGTGTTTGGATTATGGATCTGTACAAATACAGAAATATTTATCCTGTGCACCGTGTCGGACATTTTTCTAATTTTATGAAGTTGTGAGCGGCAGCTGGTTTAGAGGAGCGGGCAGACAAAACAATATAAAAAGTGGTTAAAAGGTCTAAATGGCAGCCGTTTCTTTTATTTAAAAAATCAAATATGTTTTTGTCTATTGCTTATATTTGCCTTATGCTTTACATCTAGACTACTTTAAGACCTCTTGTAATTAGGTTGAGGAATAACGCCACAGCCTGCCAATCAAATCAAGTCAGCTATCAAGTGGCCTACTTTGATAACTTCAGCTTTTTCTTTTACATTGTTCACCTGTCTGGAGATAATTACGCCGCCTAATCTCCTCATAGTGACAGGAGTTTACAGCACAATCGGCTCGGGTGGGAATTCACTACAAGAAGGGCGACTGTATCGGTATAATGAGTCATAATAAGCCACTAACACAAGTCTAAATATGATTTGAGGGTGTTTTAGCAGCTTGAGGTTTCGACTGGCTTTAGAAGTGGGCGTATAAGCGTGAAAGCTTTTCCTTTTGCAGAGTTATGTTTGGAAAGAACGCTGCACGTCTTAATCTTCATCTTTTGTTTTTCAGGTACTGCCGTTTGCATTACGTATCGGACAGCCTTTTATCTGGGTGTGCCTTGCTCTGAAATCTTTAGAAAGACTGAGGAGAGCAAACACTTTAAATAATCTAATGATCCGTTTAATAGAGCAGCAAAGGAGAGGCTTAACAGACACTGCTATCTGATTGTTGCTGTGCTGTTATCAGTGAGCCATTGCTTGGTCAGTCCAGTTACTACAGCTTGGCCTCCAAAATGGGAAACAGAATTTATGTTTCCCCGGATTAAAAGGCAGCTATTCCAAAAATGAAATTAAACAACTGTTAAACACAATAAAAATAGGCAAATATTATTATTAGCCCACCAGAAAGAAATCCAAAGTTATTTGGATGTTTTTCTACAGTTTGCAGTATTTTTCCCTTTTGCCGACAGTTTTCATTTTCCTCCCAATGTTTTGCCACTGTCTGAACATTCTTTTCACTCGCATACAATAACTGTCACTTCCATCAACTCTTCTGCATTCAACACTATCGCAATGAGTCTGAGTAATTTGTAACTGCACTGTGGAGGATTTGACAGCTGTTTACACATGTAAGTGATAGGTGTGTCGCTGCCACTGGAAAAAAGGCCCTGTGTTTGATAGCGGCCCTCTGAGTTAAAGGTTATGATTTTGAGCACAGCTGCATAAAGGTGTTCTTTTTTTACTCTTTGTAACTACGTTACAACAGACAACATCAGTGGTGGGTTATGATTGATGCAGAAACACTATAGCTCTGCTGTATCTGCTGAAAATCACCTGCACCTTTTTCACTCACCAAGGTTCTTTTGTGAAACTCATTTTGTTGCTTAAAAATCCACCAGATACTATTTTGTAATTGAGACACTGCATCTATAACGGGTATAGTGGTATTCATTCAATACAGATCAAATTAGATGGGTTGATTTAACAAGACAAAGTAAGATCATGATTTTAACTCAAAATAATCTGTTTCTTTTTTTTTTTTCAACCCCAAACATTAACTAAATTGAGTGATGTTTAATATTGGCACTTGACGCTGATGTACAGGACTGTTGCAGTATGAGACATGTTGATGAAACAAGTGAATCAGGTATACAAACTTTTTAGGTATTTTTCTTGTCTATGTGCATTTGATCACCAGTTAATAAGTACAAAAGAAGTTATCTAAAAGGTATAGTGGAGGTTGTTCTTTTTCCAGGTGGATCATCAAAATAAGTGGTCCTCCTAATTGTCAATCATTCTGGTGATATGCTTATATTTCATACATGCTCATTCCCATTTTCACTTATCGATGGTGATTCTGACATTGTGGAAAAATTGCATGATCTCTTTTTGTAAAGTAAGCTTGTATGAATGATGCAAACAGCAACTTTAAACAGAGCATGCAAAAGTAGAAATGGGCTTGTGCATGCTTTTGCACGCGTTTAATAAGCGTTCCCTCTCCGGAGCGGGTACAGGGTTGTGCATGTGCATATTTTTTTTAAAATGGAAAGGGCGGGTGTTTTAAAAAATTCACGAAAATCCTCCACTATACCTTTAAGATAACTTCCTAATTGTTAAAGTGGGTTATGGCTCTGATTATCTCCACTAATAATGTAAACTCTGTCAAAAACAGAAACTCTGTCAATGTAATTCCTCTTAGCCATGAGCAAGGCAGGGTTTCAAACTTTTATTCAAACAGAATTGTGTTTGATTGAGTTTACATATCTTATTTTTGAAAGTACTAACAAACCAACAATTAGCCCATTAAAACTTTAGCCATACATTTAAAACTAAATTTGATTTACAAATTATGTTTTGACCCAAAAACATATTTTTGACCATTTAACAAAAACTGTAAGAGTAATGCATATAAAAGTTTGAAACTATTTCTAGATGTCATTCAAAATCTACCCAAAAGGTTTCCTTTGATAAAAAAAATATTAAAGCAGAAGGCTTTTTGTTTCCTAAATGTTTTAAGTAATATAAGTTATATTTTGGATGAATTAAAGGATAGTAGAAGTCAATACCTGATTGATTTACTGTTAGTTTAAAGTGGAAATTATAAATATTTCTAGCTTGTAGCCTAAGGGTAAAAAAGGTCTAACTTCATTGTGAACTAAAGCCATTATGCAAACTCTTCCACATTAACAATGTTATGTAAAACTATTTTAAACATTATAACCTTGTTAGCTTTATTCAGTTAAGAAATAAAAGTCTAATTGTAAAAAACTAATTCTTTAGAGTCAATTTAATTCATAATCACAACCCACTGACATTAACATTATTATACACCATATTTTCTCCATGCATGTTTCCTCTTACCCAACCTCTGTCCTGGCAGTGGAGACCCAGCATTTGGGTTAAGGACATAAACCAGCGCGTGTGTGTATATGCAAATTTCTCTACCTTTAAAAATTCCTATTGCCCAAATGTAGTCATACTGTCTTATTATATTCTGTTCATACGAATATGATCCAGTTAGAGCTGCGCAGACAGCAGTGAATATGTCAAGCTAATGTTGATCCCTGTAATTTGGTGTCATTGAGTGGGCTAATCCCCTCAGAGACTGCAGGCCGAGGCTTCAGCTCATCAACACAGTTAAGGAGTAGTTTCAGGCAATGCACACACACACACACACACACACACACACACACATATACATCGGCATCTCCTATATAGCATTATAATTGTGCCACCAACCTAAACACATGGTGGGCCATCTTGGAGCTTGGTGTCACTCAGTTGCTGTTGACGTAGGAAACATTAGATCTTCTGTGGGCAGAGCTGTGAGATTCTAATTGTGTCTGCAGAGGCAATGTTTTTAATGTCTGTATTTCAGGTCTGGAATGCAGGAGTGTTAAGAGTGAACTGAAGGAAGTACTGCAGAGAGGATGATGATATCGAAGTGTGTAAATTGAATGTGGAGATGGAGCAGCGCGTGTGTGTGCAGCATGGCTGATAGGGCTCCCCCTCGCTCGGCACTTCCACTATTTAATTGCATGAAAGGAAAGGAGAGGAGATTGCAGGAGCCTGGCGGTGTGAGCGGAGAGAATGGATTTAGAATGTATTAGTATTGGCAGCAAGGCGCCGGCGGTGGGAGGCTGCCCCAGGCCTGTGGGCCCTTCATGGAAGTGCAGGTGAGCCGTGCCACCTCCAGCCTTGGCAGCCCCCCCCCTGGTATTACTTTATTATCACACTCTACTCACTGAAAAGCCCCTGCAACTGCACTGGGGCCCACACATGGAGCTGCTCTGAGTTGTCGCCTTATCTTGATGTTTACAGGGAACAGCGATTTGCTACACAGTCCCGCTCGAGCTGGACCCCACTGTTCCACTTCTTTAAAAGTAATTGGGGGCCCTGCTCACCTAATATCTCCACCTTAAGAGGCCACCTTCGTTTGGAGAGCTTGATATTTTCTGAGCCTGAAAAGTGGTGCAAATCACCCCTGGAGTCCGAAAGCATGAGAAATTGTTTGATACTAATGCTGCTGATATCCTGAAATGTCTATACCCCTCTCCACACAATAGGTGATATTGTTGACAACCACCCAGAGTGATTGAAGCCATTGTCCCATGCTGATCTTACCTCATAGGCATTTCCATGCAGTGAATGTCTTTGTGTAACTGCATCACTGTAATGTATCCCCTCCTTAGTCTGGACAGTGGGAGAAGGGTCTTTGCCTCATCCCTGATAAAACTCTCTCCGTTAACTGAGCCGCTTGTTAAACAGCTGATAGCTGTCTGATGCTGGATGCTCCGACACCCTTTAACCATAGGATGATGTAACCTAGAGAAATTGATCCTGTTTTTACCCATTGGCATTGTTTGTCACATATGCGTGGATTTAGGTCATTTATGGCTTAGACAGTGAAATTACATAAAATATTATTGAATATATTTGACAAACACTATTTAAATCCTCCTCCTATTCCTAGATGGAAAAGCAGCGGCATCTTTCATTGGGGTTGTAGCAGCTCTTCCTCCTTGCTTTCTTGAACCCTCCCCTCAGGATGTCTGTATGCTAAAGGGGCACTCACACTGTGAATAAGATTAGTCTGCCTCTAAGTGTACAACATGCTTACGCCACTTGACTTTGAATCAGTGCTGATTTGGAGCATTGCTGGGTTGTTGCAGGGAATAATGCTCTGGCTGGGTTTATGCAATGGCTGTTATGGGGAGCCCAGCCTCGTCTGCATGCATGTTTTTTAGGCAGGAGCGGCATTTTGGATAAAGCTGTAAGCTGCTTACGGCCGTGGAGAGAGGTGATTACAGGGCCCTCCTCCATAGGACTGACTGGAAGCTGGAAGGCAACTTTTAGGTCAGCGATGCCATGGTTTTTCCATGCCACCACATCCTGCCGATGTGTCAGCCTGCTGCTCCTCACATCCCACACTAGTGAATGCCATGCACTGCTGTTAAGTTGGTTTAAATTTTCAAGTCAGTTTAAGTATATTATTTACTTGCAAAATAAGATAGCAAAATAGAGAACATTCTCAGTCAAATGAAGGTTTTGATAAACCCCCCCCCCCAACAATTTATTTGGTTCTAACTTTTTAACTTTTTTGTCGCAGAGAAATGTTTTAAATCATCAAACTAATTCAGCAAACATAACCTGTGTAAATGCGAAATACAATTTAGAGATTTTATTTCTAAAAGGAAAATCCTACACTTTGTTGTGGTTACTGGAAATCAGGCTTTTACTTTTACTTAGCCTTAATGTGGTGTATTGCTGTGCATCACTTGTAGCACATTTTCAAAAACAACTAGGAAATATTTAAGGAGAGGTAGTGGTCCAAGTGGCCTTAGCTTTGATTGGAGAGGCTATGTTAATAGGTTAAGTACTTGTAACTCTCTGTAACTGTGTTCCCACTGAGGTAATTCAATGATCTGTCTTAGTCAGACTTTTGCAACAATTTCATGGGAACTTCATGAGTTAACCTTTGAATTTGAATGTTACAAGTTTACTTTGCTACATGGCTGGAAACAGGCAAGGTTTCCCTCTTTGTAGGTTCATACGGAATTACATACATTTTGTTCCTATATAACAAGTTGGGTGGACTTGGAGATAAATAATCAATGAAACATTTCAAGAAACACTGCATATATTGTAGGAGCTCACAAATACACAAAGAGATGGAGTGAAACAACTATTTTCTTTGAGCTTTTTGGAATAGCAACTGTAGATTTATATTTACTGCCCGGCTTGTTCTGCAGTGCATACTCTCCCATAAAGACCAGATCTAGCACCGCTGTTGGTCTGTAGAGGAAACCTCTAGGCAGTCAGTATGACAAAAGAAAAAAAAAAAGGATTGGAGCTTGTATAGTTGGAGCATTTTTGACAAAGTGGAGCATTTTATTCTTTACAAATCCAGAACATTGTCATCTGCACTTTTCAAATAATCATGGCAAAGTATTTTTTGTGCATGTATTGAAGAAAGTTTTGAGTTGAATATGACTGAATGAAACTGAATACTTTTTTGTTCCTCAGGGGCAATATAGGCACAGCAGAGTCCACAAAATCTACAAACACAATATGCACTCATAAGAGGAAAGAAAAAATCAGAAGGTCTCACAGAATTGTATCAGGACTCCTGGCCAAAATGTTTATTAAGAAGGATTTAAAATAAATCATTGGCTAAGAATACTAAACCTCAGGTACTGGTTTGATCTTGCCTTTTGGGCAACTGTCTTTCGGATGGCAAAGGCCTGAACTTGCCGAAGATGTTTAAAGATCGATGCTGCCCTATAAGTCACTCTGACTAAGGTCTTCACCATCATCACCAGCTATCTTTGTACATACCTTACCAATACTTGCAGGTATTATTAATTTGTTTAGCAAACAGAAACAATTTTAATAATCGTTCATAACCTAAATAGGAAAAGGTTAGTATAATTCAGTGTCAGATAGTGAGAATTAAAAAAAATATATAATTTCTACTTTTACAGCATGTGTCTATTTCTGGTTTTAGCTCTGTATTTTTGCTCAGATTGCTTTCAGATGTATAGTAAAGCAATTTAACATAACTTTATCAGAGGATGTACAAAGTAGCCCTCTTAGGCCCCGTCCACACGAAGTCAAACCCTGGCCAAAACGCACAAATTTTTCACCAAACCAGTCTCTCATCCATACGAAGCTGGCGTTTCGGGGGTCTGTAAACGATCTTTTTTTTATTAAGCCTTCAGAGTGGGAAGATTTTGAAACGCCGTTTTCGCGTTTCCATCTTTAAGCTCTAACGGCATTTTTTTTCTTACACGCATGCGTCATAGCGTCGCCTCTAAACATGCATGCGCGACACAGTATCACAACAACAATGGCGCCGCACTGTGTTGAATGGTTGCTGCTCATGCTACTCACCCTGCTGTCGGGCTTACAACAGAATCTTCTTCTTCTGGAATATCTCCAGGAAGAACAGAGCAATATAGATGACATAGTTCATCACCTCAATTTGACTGAACCACGAAAATGGACCCGCAGGACCATTTTCCGGTTTTCCGGTTTGGTTGTTGTATAAATATTACTGCGCATGCCCAACATTTCGTTGCCTGTTTTCGCCTATTTTTGCTTTGGCACCACAGCGCCACTTACAGGCCTGGCATACATTTTGCAGCGTTTTCATGCATTCGTGTGGTCGATCACATTTATTTTACGTCACCGTCTTTACGACAAACTTTCTGGAAAATATTAGCATTTCGTGTTCGTTTTGACTTCGTGTGGACGGGGCCTCAAGCTGTGGCCACATTGTGTTGTCCACTTTCCACAGTTTGTCAGCATCCTTCTGAAACAGAGTTAGTAGGTAGTAGGAAATGCACTGTGGGGATTGACTACAACTGAGCCTGCAGTAAACAGTGTATGAACACAGCAGGAAGTGTAATCTTATGAGTCTTTAGATCAAAATAAGGGATCAAAGTTACCAAAGGGGTAACAATGGAGGGGCTGCCACTGCACCTGCAGTGCACTGTCCAAAATAATGAACACCTGAGCAGATTGGAGGCAACTCAATTAATGTCACTGACACTGCCAGTTGGAGCATAAAGGCAGGTACGCAGCTTCTGTTGCCCTTTTGTTTCCAGACAAAAGGCTCCCTCACATATTCATCCAAGAGTAGGCCAGACTTTATGAAATGCTGCACAAATAATGCTTCATTGTTTAAACTAGATAGGGCTAATGCTTTTCATCTCAGTCTCTTAGCTCTTTAGTGTTCTATCTGAGGAGACTATGGAAACAGATGCTCTATTGAAACAAGTGAGCGTAACTTTGAATGAATGAAGAACATCTGATTTTGACCTACATCTTTAGTTCCGACACTATTATTAGGGGGTTGGTAAAGATAAGGCATCTTTGTTTATTTTAATCTATTTTTTAAGAATATCCAATAATTTTGGCTTTGTCTGATCTTTGTATTTGCATTTTGTTCTTAGGGAGAATTCTTAACAGGTTTTCAAAGGACATCGGCTACCTAGACTCTCTGCTTCCATGGACGTTTGTGGACTTCACCCAGGTGAGTAGCACCTCGCCAGGCCTAGTTGTCGGTGCTGCTGTGCTGGGAGGCCATTTCATGCCTGGCTAAACCTGCTTTGTGGTCCGGGTCCCCTAATCTGGAAACAATTACTGTAGGATTACTCGGCAGCGCAGCCCAGCGCCTTCACAGATTTAATAAAAAGAGTGCACACAGGCCGAGGGCGTGGCTCCCTCTGTGTGACACAACACAAGTCTTCAAAAAATGTGTATGGAGGCTAAAAGTTATTGGGTGGAAGAAAGGGATCAAAAAAGAAATAAAGCCTCATGATGATAGAGGGAAACATCAGGGAGCCCAAGAGGGCATGACAAGGATGGTGTTTTGAGTGGCATGGTGAAAAGGTAGTTATAGCAGTACGCAGAGGAGGCATTTGCAAAGCAGATCCAGAACAGGACTTTCCCTGCACAATCTACTTACTCTTTTACAGTCACTTTGGCCCAGTAGCAAACCACCACCCTAGAGCAAAACCAGGTTGGATTACCAAATGCGACCCCGCCACCGTGACAGCCACCTCCCACGAAAGCCTGTGGAGATGAGCTAGCTCATGCTCCTAGTGCCACAAAGAAGGGAATGTTTGCTACACAATTCAAGGTAGAGGAGCAGGCGTGGCTCCTTGGTCTGGGCCAAAGAATAGAACAAAGGGGAGCTGAAAATGAATCCCCCCTCCACAATGCCTGAGTGATGTTTCTGGCAGATACCCATCTCGCTATATACAAAAGCCATCTTAAATGCTGAATGCACAAAAGATCATATGCACAAAAGCGTTTTGTGTGCAATAGTTTCCCTCATTTTAATTTTAAGATGAGGAAAAACACAACTTTGTCAAGGAGGTCCTAAATAATCTTAAATGTTAACACAGTTTCTAAATAAAAGTTTTTTTGCATTACAAAGCACTGGACCACATACAAATATAGCTATAATTAGAATCATGAGAAAAATAGAAACTTAAAAGTTAAAAAGGAAATAAAAACAGCCATAGACCAAAACCTGAGAAAGTTTATCTGCTTTAAGTCCCAGTTTTATACATTGAATGAATAATGAGTGATCAAAGATTTCTTCTGAAGTTTCGACAGGTACGTTGGTGCCACGCTATTTACTACTTCATATATAAATAAAACATTAAACTAATGTCTAAATTGCTTGGACACTGGGGTAAAATAGGCTTTCCTTTTGAACGTTTTTGACATGAAAATATCTTAATGATTTATGAATACCTTGGCTTTTGAACAAAACAGGAAATACAAGGGATTTCTGGTTTATGAAGTCTTGACAGCGGTGCTTTTCACAAAGAGGCTATAGCTTTGCTGATATGTGAGGATGCTTTAAGTGGGGCTAATTTTAGCAAAAAAAAGATATGGAAAAAAAATGGCCTAGCTTATCAAGTTGCTTTGCTTTTGAAAATACAGAGTAATCAATTATTGTCGGCATAGAACATTGATGGAATTTGATAAAGGGTTGATACGAAAGACATGTACAACTGATATTGCCCAAATACATATTCTCTCTTACATTTGTTCCACAAAATCTATTGTTTAGAAAAAAAAAAACTTCAAAAGAGGAATGAACATTTAAATGGTTTGGAGCAAGACGTGACAAAGACCGAGTGTATAATATGCAGTGTTTCGTAGAGCACCAGAGAGTGGTGGGTAATTGTGTTGGTGCATAAAGGTGGCATCATTTGGACAAAGCACCTTTGTTTAAGCTTCTCTCTGCTCTTGTTCAGGTGTCTTTCATTAGGCAGTCTTTAATGCTTTCAGGAAGGAAGATTTGCACTCTTTTTATCACAGAATTAGCTCCTCAGAAAAGCTGCTGATCTTGACTATTGTTGCTCATTCGCAGAGGGACATTTCCCCATAGTCATTGTCTAAATGGTTGTCAGGGGGGGAATAAAGTGAAACTTCATAAACAAAGGCCTAACTGGTTTATCTCTCTCTATGGCGAGAGGCCGCTTCTGTGTGGGGATTTGTCCCTGAGCCTTCCCTCCTTTATGGTGGAGTAAGCACTTTACAGCCCTTCAACACTGCCCCCATAGCTTCCTAACAAGGGGATTCCCTCAAGCTGGTGGAACCTGGCTACACCCCATAGCCCTATTTTTTTCACAGGTCTCATTTAGTAGTAATTTAGTATATTGGAGAAAAGACTATTTTCTCTCCCTGTCTTTATGGTGAGGGGACAAAGACAGAAATGTCAATTAAAAACACCTCAGCCTTTGGGGACTGTCAGCTTTTGTTTGGACTTGACCTTTAAATCCTGGGTTGCCTTTATTTTTGTATAGAGGGCAGAGCAGGAGGCCAAGACAATGAGGGGTGAATACAGGGGTCTTTGGGGTGGAATCCATGTGAAGGCTCTTGACAAGGTCCAACCACCAACTGTTGAATTCTGTTGCATTTAAACCCTCCGTTTTCTGCAAAAAAAGACCATTAAAAAAGAATCATTGGAACCCTATTTTCATTTCCACGTGCCTTGGCTTTGCTCATACTAATAATAATGAGGGATGCTTAAAGTGAGTATTACAACTGGTGAGGGGGCAAACCAAAAAGTCTCAAGTTATTTCTGAAACTAATGGAAAAACAAAAAATTATGCATCTTACATTGCAGGTATAATGATTCTTCAACTTGAATTATGATAAATGCATAACACCATGTCCAACCATGACAAAAGTAGAGAAAGCTCTGCAGAGATGCATAGATGCTGCAGAGATGAATAGGACACAAAAATAAATCCATTGGCACTAAGTTTTTCCCTCATTTACTTCCCAATAAGAACTATACTGATATTTCCTATCATGACCAAGGAGACTTGTTCTGAGAAATCAGTTTTTTATTCATCACAACCTGCTAATAGTTTTTGTACTCTTGGGGACTGATCTTCAAGTAATCTAAGAACCTAAAAAAGTAAACATGAGTGATCTATCAAGGTTGTTTGTGCAAAAGATAAGATGTTCAAACAGGATGGATCCATCCAATTTAAATGAGCAAAATGCACAAGCGACTAGCAGTGTGAGATTAAACGTAAAAGAAGTATAAAGTTCTAAGCCATAGAGTTGGAGGTAATGTGATGTAATATGATTTTATTTTTCAAAGAACAATAACTGTGATAATAAATAATAATGGATGTTGTGTATATTATAGTGCACTTTAAAAAGGCATATCTAAGTAATGAAAAATAAAATATATAAATAAATAAAAGTATTAAAGGATGCAAATGACAAAAGATACATTTAGATGATTATATATCAATCATAATACCTGGAAAGCTGAATTTATCTGCTCCTCAATCTGACTCCCTCTAACAGAAAAGGACCCATTGTCAGACAGACAGCAAGATTACACTGGATTTGCCTCCACCAACCTGACACAACTTCAGCTTGGCCCCACATATTTGCAAACCAAGGTTGACATATAATAATTTTCGTCCAACACAACTCTGTTTCATGTAAAAGTTCTAAAAAAAAATTCTAAGGTTACTGACAGAGCTCATTCTCACTATTAGACCCATTTAAATTAAGGTTTCAGACTGGATCAGTGGCTCCTGTCTGGTTTAGATGCCATAGACAGTATAGGCTTGTATTGTATTTAGATATTTGTAAACAAAAAAGATTTTTAAAGAACACAAACCATACTTTAAAGAAGGGTATTTCATGATAAAAATAGCAAGCCTAAAAAGTGCGAGGTTTTAAAAATAATTTAATTGAACACCAAAAAGGAAGTGGCTCTCTATCAAAATAAGAGCAGAACTTAGCCCTAGCTGTTTTGTGATTTGTGGAATACGCAGATAAACATCCTGCAGCTATTTTTTTTTTTTTTTTTTTTTTTTACTGAAATTTCATAAAAATAGTAGTACATTCAGAAATTTGTATATGAGAAGGCATGGATTTTCACATTGTTAACCTGAAAAAATGCATTCCTCATATATTTATCAGGGAACATAATTGTGACCTCAGTTCAGTTACGATTATTGTTATTGGTGATGTGTAAGTCTGTTGAACTAATGTTTTCCCAAGTAGTTTTCTCAAAACAAAGTGAAATTGAACACAAAGCATATAGGACCATAAAAAACAACAACTTTTGATTGGATTATTGTGTGGGCCTGTATATTGTTGCTCCCTTTGTGTCTCCATTCTCTTTAGTGTCTTTTGTGGGATATGAGAACTGCTGATGTCACCATCAACCCTGCAGGATGGGATTTCACCAAATTGCTTCTCTGCCTCACCACTACCAGAATGACAGGAGTAAATAATTCACTGCCTTTAGGGTTATGGGTCGTAAAGTCGTAAAGTTTGGCCTGAGAAACTCAGAAGATAGTCCATTATGGAACTACAGGTGCAGATGAAGAAACATTTTAATTTAGTTTATTTATATAGCGCCAATTCACAACACTTGTGATCTCAAGGCACTTTACAATTCAATCAAATCATCTAGACAAATTGATTCACAGTTTTCTATCTAAGGAAAACCAGCTGATTGCATTGACTCATTGACTCGAAGGCGATCCCTCACACAAGCGTGCTTGTAGCGACAGTGGAGAGGAAAAACTACTTTTTAACATGAAGAAACATCCAGCAGAACCAGGCTCAGTGTGAGAAGCCATCTGCATTAATCAGTAAAGATGCAGTCCTATAATCATATGCTGAATATAAAAAAAAAAATCATATTGTTACTCCAAGTTAATTTGTTCTAAGGGGGTAGAAATCAAACATTAAGGAAAAATTGTGTCATATTTTTTAAATAAGATTCACTCATTATAATCTCAATTTCTAACTAGTTATCTATGCTTTTTCCTTAATGTGACGTGTAGCTCAAAGTTGATTACTTTTTACCAATGATAAAAAAAACAAAAACAAACAAACCAAAGACTGCCTAATATCCACCATATGATGAACATGTGGGCCTGTTTCTCTTATAAAGTCTCTATGAAACCTTTTTAAGAACATGAGGACTTTAAAAGAGTCCGCAGACATTTGAAATAACAAATTAAATAG